TTTTCAATTGAGATTGTTTTTAACAAGACTGTAACTAATGCTTGCCTGTAAAAACTTTGTGCAGTCAATCATCCAATCTGGAGTTTTAGTTTATGCAAACACCGACAAAATCAAATTGTTAGTAATGGAAACCAAAAAATATAATATTTTATTTATAAGCGCAGGATCGATTCAATTACTGAATTTATGCATGAAAGTTATGTAGCGACCGATAAATTTTTGCGTACGAAATTTTGAATTTAACCAGAAAAATTATCTGACAAAAAATTCAAGTTGATCCATTGAGATATGCCATAACTGATCAAGAGCTAAACACGATATTTAAAAAAAAAACTCAAATAAAAAATAGTTGTAAGAATAAACTCAACAGAGGTTCGATTAGAATTGGGTCAGTTTGAGGGGCTCTGTTTCATTTGAAATGTTTCAATCATGAAAATTTGAAGAAAAAAAAACTTCTTGGGAAATACGGTTTTTTTGGGCATGATTTGAGGTTATTTTTTTGAAAATGTAAACATTTTGTTTCTTTTGGCTTCTAGGTAGTGCGTAGAAAAGATTACCCGAAAAAACATTAAATTGTTTTTCAAGATGAGGATTGAAAGAAGGGTAAAAAGAGAATTACCTTTAAGTGTTTAGCAGTAAATCATTTCCTTGGATCTCAGAGTTTAACTTTTTTTTGCTCTGCGCTTAATGATCCACCTGAAAACAGGCCGAGCTGGCCTATTGGTGTTCTCGCATGCAACTCAGATTTGTATGTTAAACTTCAATACTTACCTTGGTAACTAGATATCGCTTTGAAACAATTTTTTATTTCTCTGCTATTATGATTATTATGATTAGCTTGAGACTTTTTTTCCCAATCAACCAATTTGTATAAGAAAGTAAACCCATCCAAATGGCCCCAAATTCAATACTTTCAACAACTTGGAATTCCAGATTTCTTTCGTGACTCGATAGAAAAAATGTAGTTCGCCAAAATCTTAATATGAAACACCGCAAAAAAATTTCTGAATTTTCTGTCCGCAAAAATGAGTTAATCAGCTAATTTTAACAATTCAAAGGACGAAACTGCTCCAAATTGGATAAAAAATCTGGTTTTCAAATGCCTCTCGAGTTTTTCTTCTAGAAAATGCACTATTAGAGCTTCACTGCAAAAAAAATAGGTTTTAATAAATAAAACTTTTTTCCATCTTCATAAATATTCCCGTATGGTTCCTGGTAACGAATTGCTATATGACGAATTAAATCAACGGTTAAACCTTTTGTGATTTTTTCACTTTGAAACAAATCTCCCAATTTCCAAAGGAAAATTTTCACAGAAAAACGTCTTTTCTTTTGACTTTCTCATAGAAAAGGAAGGCAAACTAAATTCAAAAAAAAAAAATTTCTGACACATCTTGATAAAAATTGTGGAATAAACAATGGAAGGTTTTCGAAATGAAAAGTTTTTCACGACTGTTTTTCTAATTTCTTTGCAATTGTTTAGAAAAGAATAAATAAAAGTCGCAGCGCCCAAATTTGAATTTTTTTGGTAATATAAAATACAGTATTGGTTTAAAGACTCTCTTTTTTGTCGCCGAACTTGTCATTGAATTGTTTGAATTTTTTATTGATTTAGTTGCACATCAAAAATGTACATTAGGGCCATTAAATGCGTCTTTTTGGGCTGTTTTTTTGAATTTACCAAAATTAAATTATTAAAAGTTCAACCGATTGTTGCAGTATCAGCCAGCAATATGAAAATTGGTGGTCAAAACAATATGACAGAAGTAGACTTATAGCAAAAACATTCAGTAAGGATTTATTTCATAATTCAAAATGACAAATCACACAGGTTTGTCAAAACTTTTTGTTCTTTTCCGGAAACACTTTCTTCTCATTTGAAATTAAGACAGCGTTACAAAATTTTTACTGCCCCTTCAGTCTTTGAAAAAATTTTGATAGGTAAAATGATGAATTGAGAAATTTTATCAAGTTTTTTTTTGGGAAAAACCTCTATGCTATGTTGATATGTTAAACTCGAAGTAATGTATTTAGCTTCCTGTCAGTTAACAAAGAGACCAATTAATTTACCTCAATTAAATCTGAATTGATTTCCGAATCAGGTTGAACTGCTGCTTACACGTTAGCTCAAAACTTATCTAGCTTCAGTTATCCCAGATTTAACAAATTGGTTAATTAAAACCATCAAATCAAAACAATTTTTTACAACAGGTAAACATAGTTTTAATATTAGGCTCAAAGTTTTAATAACTTTCAAAGAACTTAAATTTTATGAAAAATTGGCGAGTTAAGCAGTCAAAGTTGTCTGAAGTCGAAATTGTCATTTTCTTTCAAAATCGGATTGATAAAAAAGCGAAAAAAGCAGCGTATTGGCTGGACTTACAAAATTGGCAAAACTGTTTTAGTCATTAAAAGAATAAATCTCTAACTTTTCAAAAATAGTTGAAAAAAGGGAGAAATAGAAGCAACAATTAAAATATACATTTAACCAGATTTCCGGTTAGATCAAAATTCCTAATATACAACGCAGCTATAGACTATTACAACACTGCTCGCATCAGCGAAAATCCCCTCAACAATCCGACAACCCAGTAAACTGTTCCTTATGTTTTATCAAGAAAATTTGTTAAAACATTTAGTTTAAAAAGTTTTTTTGTGCGATCATGATTTTATTATTTTTATAATTTAATTTCATTTTCATTGCACAAAGTATTCATTCAAATTTTTTAGATTTACTTTAAGTGTACCCAAACATATTGTCAAGAAAAGTGAATGGCTTTTTTCAGAGATCAATTTTGATAAATTATGTTTTATCAATATCTTGCCTCAGTTGAAACTGTAATGGCTTCTGAGCAAGATTAAGTCGCCTTTTCCACCGCGTAGAACCAAAACTATACACAGAGGCCAAGCTGAGCTTTGTACCATTTGCGATACAGAAAGCCAACGAATCTTAAAGAAGGGGAAAAAACAACACCCCCAAGTATCACATGTTAGTCTCAAATGAAACTCATTTTTACTAAAAACAACTTTTTGCAAAAAATGATGACCAAAATTAAAATGTTATTAAAAAAATCAAGAGTGGTAGCCATGCAGACAAAACGGAGAAATTGGTCATAAAAATCCAAGAGTGCGATTTTTCAAAATCAAGAAAAAAACGGAAAAAATGGTCAAAAAAATTGATGTGCCATAAGTTTGAATCAATTATCAGCGTAAAGTTTTACAGAATTGCTAGGAATTAAACAAAAATAAAATAAGACAAATTAATCCAAAATACTGAGCTGGCAAACCTACGGTCGTCTATATTAGGAAAAAAAACGGAAAATCTTGATAACCTTAAGGGTAAAAGAAACAATGTACATATAGAAGTAATCTTAAAAAATACAGTAGTCAAGAAAACCAGCCAAAATGAACAATTGAAAAAAAAGTATCTGAAAATTAAAAGCAAAAATTGAATAAAAACTTTTGTAGTTAATTTGAGATCTGATAGCACTCAAAGTCTCCGAAATCCGATAATTTTGCAGAAAAAATCATTCCACATAATTATATAGTCTAGAAAACTTTTAAAGCAAAATAAAAATTAAGGGACAAAAAAATACTTTTGAAAATTATAACAAAAAACGCAAATAAACGCATGACTTCCATTACCTTCACCAAAAGCAGATAATGAAAACAGCATGCCGCTCAAGAAAAATCGAAAACTTTTTTTATAATTTTTAAGTTTTTTTCCGAGAAATTTGGAAAAGTATTTTAAAACTTCATAAAACTTCAATTTTACCTCATTTAAGTTGAGTGAATACAAAAAAAAAACCATGTGTAAATTCAAAAAACTTCAGGAAAAATTATAAGGGCAAGCATAATAAATCCAAAACAGGTCGCTCAAAGCAAATAACGAAGGTTTCGGCCAAAAATGATAAGCGAACTAGAAAGCCAAAAATTGATTTCGAAAATTTCAAAAAAATAGTGTCAGTTTTTATCAGTAATTTTTCTGAAAATTTTTATGAAAGGTTAAAAAATGCGATTCAGAAGTTTTTCGTTGGAGTTCAAATGTGTCTTATTAGAGTTCATTTCTTATAAAATCAACAAAAATTAATAGAATGAAAATATTAGGAAAAAAAGACGACAGAATTGAAGTCGACCAAACGCCGCGTATTATCTGCATGCAGCTAATACATTTACCACATTATTAAGCATCCATTCATGCACTTTTTACCATGTGACTATTCTGAGAAAAAAGTTGTTTACGGAAAAAAAAGTTTGGCACCCGATTTCAATATCATTGCTTATCGCAAGGGTAGTAAAATTGGCCAAATTGGCATTTTTTGTTTGCTTTCAAATGTTTAAAAAAAGATGATACACAAAGTTTATATGTATATTTTGATTTCAGGGTATCAATAGCATTCGATATCAATAGCATTGGTCTCAAAACTTAAAAGTTCAAGCTTTATCTTGAGAAATAAACAACCACCTCGAGCACAAGTTTTAGTCACTGTTTTGACATCAAAAATCTAAAAATCAAACTAAAAATCAAGGCTTTTCTGAATTGTATACTATACTTTCCAATCAAATAGTTATATTTGACGGTTTAAATTTTTTTTGTAGGAAATTGAACACTTTGAAACTATTCGTTTGTTGGACGGTTTTTGGCAAAGAGTTAAAATTTGTTCAAAAAAAATTTTTTGTGAACAATTTTTTGCTGTGAAAAAATTTAGAAGAAAAAATTTTTCATTCTTTTTGACCAGAACTTCATACAGCTTTGTATATGGCGTCACATTTTTGTCTGAGGGTCAACTTGAGTTATTGCACAAAAACATTCGTGTAAGAAGTAATTACATCTGTTGGATCAATTGAGCAATCCCCCCATTCCCGCTATGGCTTAAGATAGCTCAATAGCTCAATAGGTAATTGAGGCATGTTTATAACCACTTGGAAACATTTTACGTGGTATGAAATTATAAGCCCGATTATCCAACGAATGTGATCGCCAACGCACGTGGAACACCAAAATTCAAAAGTTTGCTCAAATGATCTCATCTGTTTTCTGAAAATTATAAATTGAGCAAAAAGATCATAAAAAACAAGAATTCAAAAGACTACGTTTTTTTAGTCTTTCCCATTGTGACATTGCCATCTGTTTGTCGGGTACAAAGATGTCGCCCTTACTGGTGTCAACTGAAGGAGCCTCTGCCTCGCTTTCCAAGCTACTGTTCCATCATCATCTGCATCCCGTACCAAAATCCACGCATATTTCTTCACACTCTCGTAACTGTGAAAACGTGAAACACTTTTGTCGATCACGTGACAAGCGTAGAGGATGATGTATTCGTCTTTCAAGTAGTCGACAACGTGAACATTTAGCTCGTTCATAGCTCCTGTGATTTCTTCGTCGAAGTTGAAGCGTAAGAGGGATGTCCCATTGGCTAAGTACTCTTTACGCATTGTGCCGTACTGGTAACTATTAGGGAAAAATATGTTATCGGAAACAATTTCGAAGTCGATGCTAGCATCTAAAATATTGCAAACAAGATTTTTTGTCTGGATTTTGCTAACGCGGCCGCGGCGATCAAAATATGATGACACCGCAGCTTTTTGTATAGAAAGTAAGCGTGCGCAAAGTTTTTGGGCGTAGGGCTGCAATTTTTTTGCTGGAACCTCAGAATCACACATTTTTACGCATAAGAATCGCTCATTTTGTAAAAAATGACAAACAAAACTGAACCCCCCCCCCTCCCCCAACAATTCTGCAACCTACTGCACATGGTAAGGGTAAATTGATTGCAACTAATTTAGAATCCAAAAATTATGATCAAAAACTAAGCTACGAGCCAAAAGCTGAAAACATACCATTTAAGGTATCTCCAAGTCCGAGGCTAAACTCAAACTGAACACACGAGTACCAGTTCTCCAGAGGGAAGTAAGTTCGTTCCGTCTCGAACCACTTGCCGAGTAGCTCGAATTCACTGATGTCTAGACTTTGAAACCCTTCGGGGAAACAAGCGTTCCTATTTCCCGTTTCCCCAATATGTATTTGGGAAATAATTAGAATCACCGTTGTCAACGTGTGAAAAACATAGAGTTTCATTTTTCTTTTTTAAATTGTAAAAATGAAATTGTAGTTTATAAATTTGAGGTTTTCTGAAACTGTTTTTATTTGAAAATTGAGCAACTATCGAGCAATATTGCAAAGTGAGTCTTTGAAGTTGAAGGCCGAAGTGAGCCAGTTATTATTTATGCTTGAACCCGAAGTTCAGCAAACTATTCAGTCAAAAAGTTTGTTTGACTTTGATGAGCCTACCCTACTGTTTACAAAACAATGTGATGTAACTCAAATAAATTATTCGACCTTTCGTAATTGTATAATTTGATAGAGGTCAACGAATTTAGAGTTTATGGAAATATAAATTTACTTGCTGTAAAAAGGTCGACAAAATTCTGATTCAATCAAGAACCGGTTTTTTATCGGACCCAAAATTTTGATCAAATTATGACCTTTGTTCGGAAAATGAGACGTGAACACAACTGAAGGGGCATTCAAAACTTACTGAGTCCAAAAGATTATATAAGCTTGAGATTAAATATTACTGTGCAACTCAAGGAAAAAACTATCACCAAAATTAGGTTATATCTATAAGTTTTTTATGGATCTGGCGAACATATGGGTTAAATAATGGTATTATGAAACAGCTCCTTGACAAGAACCATCCTAGGAAACCTTTCTGGCTTGTTAACCGTTTTTGTGTCATCCGTATATTTAGTATGATTGAAGAATCCGAAAAGACTCTAAAAGTTATTGTTTGACAAATGTCTAAAAAATTGCTGCAAATAGCTGATTTTATAAAAAAACATTTTTTTCCTCTTTTTATTCCCCCATTAAATATTATGACAGATGTATTCAGAAGCAAAGTATAATTTGAGTAGATTAAAATAGAGCTTTGTTTTGCAATCGAGTTGATTTTGACAGTGATAAAATTGGATTATCAGCCTATTGACGGGATCTAATGTGCATTACAGTATGAAAAGGGGTTAAAGAGAGGGGGTGAATTTCAGGTAAATTTCTACTCTGCAATTTGATGCTTTGTTTCTCCCCCGAGTACACTTAACTCGACACTTGTGATTACGAGGTTATTATTTCACGCATAACTTTTCCCAACTTCAGGTCTCAAGGGTCAAATTGTGAAAAAATGGGCCACTTTAGCGCTCGCGAGCTAATATCACATTGATTATATTTTATGGTTGAACACTTAACTAAAAATAACAATAGCTCGAGTGGAAAAATTGGTGAACAAAAATAAACAAAAAAGGCGAATTGACGAAGCCAGAATTTTCAGCTGGAACCAAAAAAAGTCCGGCAGTTATTCAAGGGTTACAAAAACATCTGGATCAAATCAGCAACCAGCAGCAGTTTTGAATATTTATCATTGATAGATAGTTCGTAAATTAAGGTAAGTTTTCAAGTTTGAAAGCAAATTTTAACTTCCTCTTGGAGATTTTTTGCGATTTTCCAAAACTATCCATGTGATCCTTTTCTTGCTATTGTTTGATCAGAATAAGATTATCCATAGAAAAAGCTTTCTAAAAAGTTGTTAACATATCAGAGCAAACTACTCGAATAAACATTTTTGTATGTTGATGAAATTTTCTACCTAAATTCTGTCAGCTTTCTTTTTTTTCAGTCGGAGTTGTTTCGAATCAAAAACTCAAAAAAATCAAGTTTGCTCTGCTATTTAGTCAATTTAACCAATTCAGCGACAAAAAATGTCTCAGATAGGAAGAAGCGGACGCTCACTGCGCCTTGCGGGTGCTTTTTGGGTTGCAAACTTCAGCGGCTGCATTTTTTTTAGAGAATGTTAGACATAAACAAAACCCCTCCCCGCATCCCCTTACCACGGATTTTTTTTTGCTTAACGGCCCCAAAACTTGATGTTTCTGGTAGTTGCAGCTTGGAAATTAAGTATTAAATCTTTGAATCTATTTTGTTCAAAAAAATAAAACCCGATGGAAAATTATTTTTTAGAACGTTTTTTGTTTGTTTTTGAGTTAGATAATGAAGGAAAAAAACGATTCCCCAGATTTGTTTTCTCAGGAGTTCTTCTGCTATCAGTTACTTCCTTCTCTTGATTGCACTCTTGATGAACTTCAAGAGGGCAATCAACAGGACAGGAGAAAGTTGATTTCAATTACAGGAAGTTTTCCTTCTCTTCCCTCTTCGTTTAATCTAAGAAAAAGTTGATTATGGGAGGTAAAATTGAAGATTTTTTTGTGAGGATGCAAAAACACTATTGATAAACTACTATGACGTTCTTTTTTACTCTATGCGCAAGAACCAAATAACTGCGTGAACTTTTACTTATCAAATGACGCTCTTTTGTAATATTTTTGCTCTGAAACGCCTTTTGAACTAAACAAAACGACCTGTAGTTTAATGATCCACTTAAAAACACCAATTAATCAAAGTTTTGATATTGTATCTATTTAAGAGTTCAACTATTAAAATGTTGGCTCCATTCATCCCAACTTCATAACCACAAGAGTGCTTTGAGCAATCTAATTTGTAAATCAATTTTCACAAAGAGGAAGTTACCGAAAAGAAATGCTTGAACTTTTGGAAAAGGCTTCTTGGCTTCATTTAAAAAGCGAGCAATTTTCATCATTAACCTAAAAAAGCATGCGGCAAAAATATATTTCAATAATGAAATATCACCATTCAAATTACTGATTCTTAATTAACTTTCATTGGATCTATTTAACAATCTCTCCCCCCCCCCCCGCCTTTCAAGAAAGGAGGGGGGGGGGGGGAGATGGGAGATTGTTAAGTAGATTACTTGCAGCGAATTTTCGACCAATCAGAATGCAACAAAATTCGAACTTACATACAACGCTCAAGTTTTTATTTACAGGGGTTGAGATTCTTAAGTAGATGGGGGGATTGTTAAGTAGATCCTTTTCATTATATGAATTCCGAAGTTGTTCAGCGAAGGTTGTGAAAAGTAGTTCGTGTGTTTAATTAATGGTATTAGGTCAAAGTTTGACGCAATATCAATACTTTAACACACGTACTGTTTTTTTTTCACTTATAACTAGGTATCAACGCTGTTTTTTTCTAGAGATTCCAAGCAAGCAAAAACCCTTTATAACTCAAACACAAAAAAGGTGGTTCAAAATAGCTATTTTTGTCATGAACCTTACAAGACCTAACAAGATAGCCCATCTTCGTCAACTAGTGCGAGCTAATTTATTGTGCTTGAAAAATGTGGTTCAAAACGGGAAGGTCTAAAATAGCTATTTTTGTCATGAACCTTACAAGACCTAACAAGATAGCCCATCTTCGTCAACTAGTGCGAGCTAATTTATTGTGCTTGAAAAATGTGGTTCAAAACGGGAAGGTCTAAAATAGCTATTTTTGTCATGAACCTTACAAGACCTAACAAGATAGCCCATCTTCGTCAACTAGTGCGAGCTAATTTATTGTGCTTGAAAAATGTGGTTCAAAACGGGAAGGTCTAAAATAGCTATTTTTGTCATGAACCTTACAAGACCTAACAAGATAGCCCATTTTTGTCAACTAGTGCGAGCTAATTTATTGTGCTTGAAAAATGTGGTTCAAAACGGGAAGGTCTAAAATAGCTATTTTTATCATGAACCTTACAAGACCTAACAAGATAGCCCATCTTCGTCAACTAGGGCGTGCTCTTATTGAGTTTGAATTCAAACCAAAGTTTTGACTCAGAAAGAAAGGTGATAAAATCTAAATAAAGGGGTCAAAAGCACTTCCCCGAACAGCTCAAATGATGGTCGGATATTTCACAGCAGATCAGCTAATTTTGTTTGGTTTCTTAGCAAAATGTCATCCTTTCTGACCAAATCGCACAGTCAAAAACAGGCCATCATGAGAGACCTGCTGAAGAACTTCGACCGACTACAGAGCATGAGTGACGAAGAGATCCAGACACTGCTCGGAGAAAACGACCCACATTTGAATCCCAATCACCTCGGAGGTGGCAACATTCGGGGCGAACCGGAGGAGACGAAGCCGAAGAAACGAGGGCCGAAGAAGAAGAAACTGACAAAAGCCAGACTGATTAAGCTCAAAGTGCGCAGGTAAGCACACTTTTAGTTTCATTAGTTAAGAGAGCGAAATCTTGATGTGACGTCCAAACCGCTATGATGTTCTTTAGCTGTAAATTAGGGTCATTTTCGCAAAATTAAATGAAATTATTCAAATAATTACTGGAAACTGTTTTCTGACGATTTCGCTGCTGTCAAATATGTATTCGCTGGCACAATTTTGTACCAAGACTACTAGGAAAAAAAGATCTTAATCAGAATTACATGGAACTTGACAAAAAATCAAATTAGAATTTAAAATTAACATTTGCTAACAAAAATTGTTACTCATTAAGGCAGTCATGCTTCGCATGTCATGAAATAATTTAATTTCAGGTCAAAAGCGAACACCCGCGAAAGATCACGCATGCATGGATTAAACAGTGCTCTGGACCAACTGAGAAATGTAATCCCCGGATCGCCTCACGCGACACAAAAACTGTCCAAAATTGAAACTTTAAGACTGGCTAAAAACTACATTAAGGCAATGAGTGATGTCTTAAAAACAAATACAGCGCCAGACGCTTCGGTTTTTGTACAATCATTGTGTGAAGGGCTTTCACTTTCAACCATGCATTTGGTAGCCTCGTGCTATCAAGTTAACCCGAGAATCATTTTCCCGAACATGCAGTTCGTATCAAAGTTTGGGCAAAAAGGTCGGAGGTATGGCCGAGCAGTGGCGGTCGGTAATCATTCGTTAAGCCAGTCAGATTTGAGATCAAACTCCGAAGATCAGCAATGCATGTTCGAATGCCCGACGCCAGATACGAGCTCAAATTGCGACAGCACAAATGAACTAAGTTTGACAAGTCATTTCGGTGCGAACGAGAATCTGTATTCAAAGCCGAGTTTCAGTTTCAACCAATCAAACTTGACAACGCCAAGTTTTTCCCACCACGAGAATCAATTGGCGTCTGTGACTTGTGCATATTCAATGGAGTCTGAAAACTTTCTCGGATTCAGTCCAGAAAACCAGAATGTTTACTGTGCATTGATGTCCAGAGGAAACACTGATTTCAGGAGTTCGTTTCCAAATTTGGAAACCAAGGAGCCTAAATTTCAAAGCGGACCCGATCTATTCAACTTGTTCTGAGTAAAAAAATTCAATAAAAAAACTTATTTTGCTATCAAAACTATTTTCAAGTTTTCTATATTTCTACTGCCATCTTATAATACTTTAACTTAAATTTGAACTACTTTATAAAAATATACTTACAAAAAGAAATAATTTCCGTTTGTTTCATGGGATCGATCAGGCTATCAATGACCAAAGCTAACATATTTGAGCATGGGCGGATCTTGGATCTTTAAAAAATTAAAAAATCAAAAATTTTGTCGACTTTTTAAGGTCAATCAAATTAACTTTTCGGGAGCTCTTAGAACACTATGCAGACCCTGCTATGACTAAAAGTTTGCATTTTTTGGCGCGCTCTTTTCTTCAAAATTAGTACATTTTGAAGCCGAAGAAGGCTTTTTTGAACAATTTTAGGTTTGCTCGGCCGAAAATATTTGATATAACATAATACCAAAGGATGATCCTTTGGTTTGTGAGGGGTCGAAACTTTGATACATGATACAAAACCATCGAAAGTTTATTGCGATTTTAATTTTCTAAATTGACCAAAAGGGCCCATTTCAAACCCCATAATTTAATCAAAAAATGGTCCCACGTGAAGCACATTTTTTTGCCTTCTTTCCACTTTGTTCATGTTTCAGATTTATTTGGTTTTATGTAAGCTTAATTCCACTGGCTGCCTTTTCATGTATCTGATGTAGTTTTCATAGTGAAACGATGAAATTTTCAGAAATTTTCAAAAAGTGGAGCTTTTTATAAAATGTTCTGTTAAAATAAATCCGGACAAACGAAGTCAAAGTCAAAATAATGATAAAATGCTAATTTGACTCCATTTAACTTCGCATGATCTCTGAGCCGGATACTGTCGCCGCCTTTGCAAGACGTTAAAA